AGAGAGAGAGGGAGACACAGAATCCGAAGAAGGCTCCAGGCTCCAAGCTGTCAGCACAGAGCCTGATGTGGGGCTTGAACCCGTGAACTCTGAGATCATAACCTGAGCTGAAGTTGGATGCTTAACTGACTGAGCCACCTAGGCACAACTTATTCTTATTTTTATTTTTTAAAGTTTATTTATTTTTGAGAGAGAGAGAGGAGAGAGAGAATCCCAAGCAGGTTCTGCACTGTCAGCACAAAGCCTGATGCGGGGCTTGGACTCCCCAACCTCGAGATCATGATCTGAGCTGAAACTAAGAGACGCTTAACCTACTGTGCCACCCAGGTGCCCTGAGAACTACTTTTTAAAAGTGAACTCTACACCTCACATGGGGCTCAAACTCAGTCCCAAGGTCAAGAGTTGCATGCTCTATGGAATGAGCCAGCCAGGCACCCCATGATGAGAACTTTTAAGATCTGCTCTCTTAGCAACTTCCAAAAATGTAATACAGTATTATTAAGTGTAGTCACACCCATGCTGTACATTACATCTCCATGACTTTATTTTGTACCTATATGTTCATATTTTTGGATGTAGTTTCCTGTTTTACTGATGGATCACCAAATCTCAACCTTCATTCATACAACAGTCAGGTATTGTTGCCTAAAACTGGAAGAAAAGGAGGCTGAATAAGCCTGAATAGCTTGTCTAGGGTCACTTAGCTAAGTGGTTCAACTGGGGTTTGATTCCCACTGCTCTGGCCTCAGGGTCCTTTCCTTAGCCACTTGACCTGTTAGCTCAGCCAACCTGGCCTTCCCTCTCCTTATTCAGGCCCAGGTGTCTTTTGGGGAGCTTTGGAGGCTCTGGGGATGGTGTTCTGCCTGTTTTGAGAATGTGTTGAGTTGCACTGAGCCACTGGAGAGTCATGGTCTTTGTTCTCCCACAGTGATGAGGAGAAGCTCTCCTTCTGGAAGGACCTTTGTTCTGTGTTCACGGCCAACAAGAACTTTCAGATGTTAGATCTGGACAATTGTATGTTTGACGAGCCCTCCCTGGAAATTCTCTGGAAAGCCCTGGCTCATCCTGTTTGTAAACTCCAAAAGTTCGGGTAGGTTGGATGTTGACCTGTAAACAACTGAGTTTAGTCCTTTCTACTCTGGATTTTTTGGGAAATACCAATGCACAGAGCTGCAATCCAATGGCTCAAGAAAAATTTGGGGAGCACTTTCCTTGATACCAATATTTTATTGACAAGAAGCAACTGTGAGCAAACTGGGGGACTTTAGGATTGAACATGGTCAACAGGGTAGGTCCCCAGCCACTATAGGTCAGTTTCTATGCACAAATGGGGAAGTGCTTTGTTTTCTGGGGTGGGTGGCCAACATTGGTTCCCCCTTCTTTTTTTAATGTTTATTTACTTGAGAGAGAGAGAGAGAGAGAGAGAGAGAGAGAGAGACCGTGAGTGAGTGGAGGGCGCAGAGAGAGAGGGGGAGACACAGAATTAATTACAAGTAGGCTCCAGGCTCTGAGCTATCAGCACAGAGCCCGATGTGGGGCTTGAACTCATGGACAGCGAGATCATGACCTGAGCTGAAGTCAGACACTTAACCGACTGAGCCACCCAGGCGCCCCAAAACCTTAGTTTTTAAACAAATGGATCCTTTCCTTGGGAAACATGGTTCTTCTTGGAGAGTTAACTCAAATACATGCATCCCCGTTGTATGTCAAGCTCCGGCCTGGACCTGTGGGTGCAAAGATGCACAAGCATCATGTCCCCATCCTGACGGTGCTTAGAATTTAATATGGGATGAGTTTGGTTCACTCCCTTCCAGTATGGACGGTGGTGTGTGGGCATGCAGGGACTAGCAAGAAAAGAGAGAACCAAGCAGCTGAGCCTCTGTGTTTGTCTGCTGTCTGAAAACCCTGGGTAGAGAGAATTTACAGGTGGCAGTAACGGGATAACTACAAACAGTGTTGTGAACCTAAGCATGGTAGACAGGTGGGAGGAATTGTGTAAGACGTATCTTCCTTTGTGTTTGGACTCTGCTGCATGAGTTTCCACATTTTTTCTAGGTATAATTTTGCATCTTATGTTGGAAATGGCCCAGACTTCTTTGAGGCCATTCTTCACAACCCTTGTCTGAAATGCCTGAACCTGCACGGCACTAGACTCTCCCTTGTGAGCGTCAGGCAGCTGTGTGAGACGCTAAAGCACCCCGTGTGCACCGTGCAACAGCTGATGTGAGTCTTGGCTTGTCCGCCCTCAGTGATGTTTCTTTTTTTTTTTATTTTATTTTTATTTTTTTTAACGTTTATTTATTTTTTTGGGACAGAGAGAGACAGAGCATGAACGGGGGAGGGGCAGAGGGAGACACAGAATGGGAAACAGGCTCCGAGCCATCAGCTGAGCTTGACTGGCTGGGGCTCAAACTCCGGACCATGGTGGTGACCTGGCTGAAGTGGACGCTTAACCCGACCATGCCCAGTGTTTCTTGTCCAGCATGGAATTTTCCATGGAATGTGCCCATTTCTTTCCTGCATCAGTCTTTTGTCTCTTACATGGTAAATTTTCCATCTCAGCCTCTCCAGACCTCAGAAGAGTGATCTTCAGACCTCTCAGAAGGCTTGTTACAGCTTTCCCTCCTTTGGTAGTCACTTGGATTACTTCTCGTGGACACCTTACCTTCCTCTTCTTGGTTCTGTCCTCAACCACCTGTGCCAAAACCAAAACTCCATTTTTTTCCCCTGAAGATATTCATAGACACTTAAAATGAGAAATCATATCAATGATCACAAGTGTCCTTATGTCAATCTGGTAGGTGACAACATGGAAGCCAGAGGGAAAGCGATTTGCCCCATATCATTTCTTCCTCTTGAAAATTATCTGGGATGCCCCTACCTACCATAGTTGGGTGGTTTCTAGACAGGATCAATCCATTTTTTTAGCAGAAAGAAAAAGGGGGGTGTAATCGAGAACCAACTCATTAAACCCACCTGGAGAATATGCTCTTCTCTCCCCTGCTTCAGAGTCTCTTCTTTGCTGGAAAAGTTGCAAATGTAATTGACAGATTCACATACACTTGGTTAACTGTAACTTGGTTGAGATCCATCAGGAGAGAGAGGTGCATTCCGTGCATGAGTTGTTTGAACACACAGGCTTTCTGTAGATCCTTTTCCTCATTTGAACTCTTTCCATATCATGACTTTTTTTTTTTTTTTTTCTACTCTAGCTCTCTCTAGTGATGGGGAACTTAGAAAATTCCTGAGTATTTTGCTCCATTTCATGTTAGGCCATTGCACAGGGTTTTAATATTCCACATTAGATAAGAATTGGGGAACAGATCTAGGAAACCAGGGGTCATTTGTAGACATTTACTGAGGGAAACTTTGCCTCTTTGGGGCAGACCAATTGTAATCTTGACTTCAGTTTGGTATTAGGGGTGGGAGGTCCCCTAAATCAGGTTCCCCCCAGACCATTAGTTCTCAACAGAGGGCAGTTTGTTCTTTTAGGAAATGTCAGCATCTGGACATTTTTAATGGTCATCATTGCCTTGGAAGGATGCTACAGGCATGTAGTGAGTGGAGGTCAGGGGTGCTACTCTTAGCATCCAATAACATCCAGGACAGGTCCCACAACAAAGAATTTTCCAGTTCAAAATGTCAATAGTGCTGACATTGAGAAAGCTGCTCTAGCCTATGATATGTCCTATTTTTTTAAAAATATTTTTTATTTTTAAGTCATCTCTACACCCACCAGGGGGCTTGAATTCACAACCCTGAGATCAACAATTGCATTCTCCACCAATTGAGCCAACCAGGTGACCCCACAAGATGCTCTTTTCAGCTGCATTAAGGCTTCTCAACCTTAGAACTATTG